CAAGCAGGACCTCAGTTTAACTCCTCCATGGGATGGCATGGCCAACAGTGCAGTAATACACTGGAGTGTCCACCTAAGTTATTTGTTCAAGTCCATAAGACTTATAAGATGTAGGAGCAAAAGCAGGCCATTCAGCCCATTGAATCTATTCTGCCATTCAATGAGATCATGGCTGATCTGTTAATCCTCAACTCCACTTTCCTGCCTTTTCCCTATAATATTTGATTCCCTTAATTGTGGCACAGTGGTAGTGTTCCTGCCGCTGGACCATGAGATCTGGGTTCAAACCCCACCTGTTCCAGAGGTGTGTAATAAACAGGTTGGTTAGAAAAATAGGTCAAATTTTTAAAAAAATCTATCTCAGCCTTGAATATACTTTATGACCCAGCCTCTACGATAAAGAATTCCAAGTCTTTGAAGTATAGGTTATCTCAGTGCTTTACATAATTGTCTCTATCATGAGATGCCCACTTGAATTGACTTTTTTTTCATTCATTAGCAGGATGAGGGATGTTGCTGGCTAGGCAGCATTTATTGCCCATCCCTAATTGCCTAGAGGGGAGTTAAGAGTCAAGCACATTGCTGTGGGTCTGGAGTCACATATAGGCTAGACCAGGTAAGGATAGCAGTTTCCTTCCCTAAAGGGCGTTAGTGAATCAGATGGGTTTTCCAACAATCGACTCATGGTCATCATTAGATTCTCAATTCCAGATATTTTATTAAATTCAAATTGCACCATCTGCCACAGCAGGATTTGAATCCTGGTCTCTGGGACATTATCTGGGTCTCTGGATTAACAGTTCAGCGATAATACCACTGGGCCATCGCCTCCCCCTTAGCTGCTGACTCTCTTACAATAGCCTGCTGAGGCTGTCTCTCAGTGATCTCCCTCCTTGGATATCCGCCTCCATACCTTTCTGTTGCTCTGAAAAGTGAACTGGGGTAAAAGAGTGAGTGGCACAGACTGTCACACTTTGGAATTTTTGACTCATGGCCTTGGCGGGATTTCTGTCCAATTCGCATTCAGTGAGATTCAGCTCACAAGTAATTAAACCGGGATAACCGTGGAGCGAATCAGATTCCAGTCGAAATGTTTGTCCAAAGGTTTTCCTACATATTGCATCAGTCAAGGCTGTTAAGACATTCCAGTGACATGCACAATCTAATCCCCGGGGCTTCACACTTCAATGAGATTGGTGTCAGCAGCTCACATCAAAGAGAGCAGTAGAAACTTTAACTGGCAACGCAATGGTTAATCTCTGGCAGTGGGCGAACTGGGAAAAGATCACAGGAGTGGAATTATTTTCCAACAAAAGAGATCCTTAGGACATTAGTGTGGAAATGGTCACTTGGGGAGGAGTAAGAGAGAGAGGCTCCCATTGTACATGCTGATTAGATTCGAAAAAAGTTGTTAGTTTGTCGAGCTCCTGCATAGGGATAGTGTGCTTTGCTAATGTCAATGAAAAGAAAATATGAATCCTCAGTGACTGGGAGATAAGAATATAAATGTGTTTCTGGTTGCATGTTTACAGAAAATAACGCCAGTCAGTGCTGTCCCTTTGTAGAAGGACTAAAATAATTTAATAAAGGTCCTTTGTCTCTCTCACAGAACGATCTGCAACTGAGACAATCTGCTCCGGGCAAATATTTGTTTCTTTATTTTAAAACAGGAAAAGCAAAGGAAGCACCAGCTGCAAGGGCTTCAGATGAACTTGCAGCAATAAATCAGTGCGTCCAGAAGGTGGAGAGTAAACAACTGGAAGGATTTCAGAGGGTTTTACAAAAACAGATTGGCTCAGCAGGTCTGACAGCATGGAGTGAAAGGGAGAAAGGGAGAGAGAGAGAGACAGTTAACAGAGTTAACCTTTCAGATCGATGACCTTTTATCAGAACTGGAAAAAGTTAAAGATATGTCATGTTGAGGTTGTGCTGGATGCTGGTGAGGCCTCTTCTGGAGAACTATGTCCAGTTCTGGTCGCCCTGTTATAGGAAGGATATAACTAAGCTGGAGAGGGTTCAGAAGAGATTTATCACGAAGTTGACGGGAATGGAGGGTTTGAGTTATAAGGAGGGGCTGGATAGACTGGGACTTTTTCCACTGGAACGTAGGAGGCTGAGAGGTGACCTGAAAGAAGTTTATAAAAAATGAGGAGTATAGATAAGGTGAATGACAGGTGTTTTTTCTCTAGGATGGGGTATTTCAAGACCAGGGGACATATTTTTAAGGTGAGAGGAGAAAGATTTTAAAATGACATGAGGGGCAATTTTTTTAAAAAGAGGGTGGTTCATGTGTGGAATGAACTTCCAGAGGAAGTGGTGGATGCGGGTACAGTTACAACATTCAAAAGATGTTTGGGTAAGTACATGAATAGGAAAGTTTGGAAGGATATGGGCCAAGCGCAGGCAGGTGGGACTAGTTTAATATGGGATTCTGGTCGGCGTGGACTGGTTGGACCGAAGGGTCTGTTTCTGTGCTGTATGACTCTATGACTCTCTATAACAGGCTTTAACTCATTCCGGAGGTAGGATAGATAAATGGGTATTTGGTCAAGGTTCTGAATCCCCTTTTACACCTCATTTTAACTCATCTTTGTTTCTTGTCCCATTCACCACCCCACTGTCATCTCCAATGAAGGAAGGGATCATTATGCCATCCCTGGCTAGCCACCACCCACCACAAGATGGGCAAGACATCAATCAGTCAGTTCCTGACTCTCCCAGTCCGACTGCTTCAGTGGGTGCTTGGGACTGAATCCATTGGACCAGGCAAACCCGCGAAAATAAAGGAACAAGATGCCAACTCTTCCATTGGCAAGTGGGTACGTCAGGAGTGTGTGAACAGGACTGACAGGCAGTCCACTGGTCAATATCCTGCACAACTCAGCTGGGAGACCAACATGGCTGCACACTCACATGACGTTCCTACAAAGAGAAATGTGTTGCCGAGAATGGATCCCAGAAAGAAAGTGCACCTCCATCTGAGTAGGGCAGGCAAGATGTTCCTGTAAACAATTCCTTATTCTCAATTTGTCTATGTGTTCTCTCCTTCTGCCCCTCAACTCAAACTGGGCCAGTCCACCTCACGTGCATCCATGCTTCAATGCTATGTTTCACTATGAATGCAAAGACTAGTTTGATGAAGAGATTGACTCTCCAATGAGCAGCATCCCAAAGTCAGAACATTCAGAGACTGGAAGACGAGCTGGAGACATGGCTCCCTGCCTCAGCCATCACTGCCTGCGAACGGACAGGGGATGCCTGAGCTTTGCTGCAACCATGAGCTTTGTGTAACTGATGCCCTCTTTTCAATCAGACCATGCCACAGGGTGTCCTGGAGTCATCCAAGATCAGGGCATTGATACCCACTAGTTCTGATCATCACTGGGTCTGACATGTAAAAAGTGTTCGCAACACACAGATTTATAACAGATTGATGCCGATGTGCACCAGGACTCCTACCTGGAAGGTTGTTAGGGGTCAGTCATCTTAACTCTAGCACATCTCTGCAGGAGTTCCTCAGGGAACTCAGTGCTATGTTGTAGCTTCGCCAGGTTGACACCTCATTTTTAGGTATGCCTGGTGCTTCTCCTGGCATGCCCTTGATGCCTTGGCTTGATGGTAATGGTTGAGTGGGGGATATGCCGGGCCATGAGGTTACAGATTGTGCTAGAATACAGTTCTGCTGTTGTTGATGGCACACAGCGCCTCACGGATGCCCAGTCTTGAGTTGGTAGATCTGTTTAAAGTCTGTCCCATTGAGCACGGTGATAGTGCCACACAACACAATGGAGGTTATTCTTAATGTGAAGGTGGGACTTTGTCTCCACAAGGAACGTGCAGTCGTCGCACTTGTCATTACTGTCATGAAGAGATGCATCTGCAGCTGGCAGATTGGTAAGGATGAGGTTAAGTATGTTTTTCCCTCTTGTTGGTTCCCTCACCACCTGCCACAGACCCAGTCTAGCAGCTATGTCCTTTAGGACCCGACCAGTTCAATCAGTAGAGCCACTGTTGAGCCACTCTTGGTGGTGGACATTGGAAGTCCCCACCCAGAGTACATTCTGTGCCCTTGCCATCCTCAGTGCTTCTTCTAAGTGTTGTTCAACATGGAGGAGTACTGATTCATCAGCTGAGGGAGGATGGTATGTGGTAATCAGCAGGAGGTTTCCTTGCCCATGTTTAACTTGAAGCCATGAGACTCCATCTTTGGTGAGTCTGTGCTCCCAGTGGGGCAGGAATACCCAAGGATGATAGCGGTGATGTTTGCGGTGTTGTTGGTCAGGTATGATTGCTGTGTGTCTGGAGTTGCATGTAGGCCAGGTCCGGTAAGGATGGCAGGTTTCCTTCCTTGAAGGAGATTAGTGAGCTTTTGCAACAATCGACATTTACGGGAAAAGAGGTGGCATAGCGGTAATGTCACTGGACCAGGAATCCAGATGCCCAGTCTAATGCTTTGGGGAGATTGGCTCGTATATTCTGCTATGATAGATGGTGAATAAAATGCTGGCCTAATAGCGAGCATGTAACCATTGTTAATTATTATAAATGCTCATTGCCATCACTAAGGTCCAATGGAGGGAAATCGGCCATCCCTATCTGGACTGGCCTACATGTGACTCCACAGATATGCAGTTGATTCTTAAATGCCCTCTGGGACAATTAAGGATGGGCAATAGATACCAGCTCCACCCGCTGATATATTAATGATGCTAACAATGGCTACCCTTCAAAGTATTAACCATGGCTTGTTGGTCAGCCTATCCCTTTGGACTCAGAAGACTGCGGGTCTGGGTGAAACGCTCTTTGGAGGGTTGGTGTGGACTCAATGGGCTGAATGGCCTGCTTCCACACTGTAGGAACTCTATATTGTCCCACCCAGGGCAGTGAGGTTACCTGTAGTGGCCTATTGAGTTCACCATTATCAGAGTGTGCATGTTGTGCCCTTTAGCATGAGAATTAATTAGCCAGTAATACTGACAGTGTAAACAGGGCTTCCTTACCTGAGAACACTTGCTGTAGATTGTGCACTACAGTAGCCAACTGGACATGGTCAGAAACCAGGCTGCGTAGCTGCCCCAGGCCTTCAAACCCATTGACTTTGTTCTGCCAGTCTTCACAGACGTCAACCAGTGTGCGGCGCACTGCCCTGACATCATCGAGAGAAGCCTTCAGCTGCCCAAGGCCTGTCCCGACCCCTTCCAGATAGGACTGAACAGCAGACTGCAAAGTGAGAGAGAAATGCCAACATTGGACTTTATTTTACACTTGGAGACAGAAAAGCTGAAGAACTGCTCTCCTGCTGGAAGTCAGTGTCAAACCTCATAATCTCACAGACTATACACAACCAGCTCAGAGGCCGAGTGACCAACAGTGCCAACGTGAGATGCGATGGCAGCCTAAGCTGTAGATGTGGCACTGTCAGGACATCAAGCTCCTTCACCCAAAATTATCGAGTTGTAAAGCACTCAAGGAAGCCATCTCACCCAGCATGTCTATTTTGGTGGTTAAAATGCTAACCAGTTAGTCCCATTCCTCTGCTGTTTCCCAACAATCCTACAAATCTTTCTTTCTCAAGTAGAAAAGTAATATCCTTTTTGGATGGAACTGTTGAATCTTTTGCAGTGTATTCCAGGCCATAACAACTTTCTAAAGCGAAGAATTTCTGAAGAAGGGTCTAGGCCTGAAACGTCAGCCTTCCTGCTCCTCTGATGCTGCTTGGCCTGCTGTGTTCATCCAGCTCTACACCTTGTTATCTCAGCCTTTCCCTCTGGTGAGTTTCCAAATTATCTTTAAGTTTGTGCCTCTCTGAGCCAGTGGAAACAGTTTCTCCTTATTGTCTCAATCAAAGTCCCTCAGCATGGTGAAACACCGCCGTTGAGATCTTCCATCTTCTTCTCAGAGGTGAGCAATCCCAGCTTCCCCCAATCTCTCCGCATGACCATTTGGTGCCATTGAAGTAAACCTCCACTGTACCCCATCCAATTCCTGGATGTCCTTCCTAACATCATGAGGCTAAATCATCTCGAGAGTTTGGTTCAGGGAGGCTTGCTGATTGACATCGAAGGGAAAAGTCCAAAGATAGCAAGACTGGCTTTTAAACCAACTTAATCGATGACATTCGGATTAATTTTTCCACTATATTCCTTGGAGATACAGGATGCACATTACTGAACCATCCTTCAATTGGAAGTCTTCTGAAAGATTTCACTTTGTGGAATAGATTCATATGAAATTTGAAAATTCACATTCCTGATCCTGAGGCAAAGCAGGTCAAAGGTTGGAGTCGTAGGCCCAGCATTTCTCAATCTGACCCTTCACACTGTGAGGGTCTCAGTGTCTTTATGGCCATGGTATTTTCAACTTCAGTTCCTTCTTCTGTCATATACCAATCGGACAAAGGCAATTATAAAGTAACTGTGAGGCACTGGGATTTCTCCACTAATTGAAGTTTTAACACTTTTTAAAACCAATTATTTTTCTTTCTCCCAAAAGGCACTGATGCCTCACTGGGATCCGGTACATTGCCCGACTTTCACATTGACTAGTCAGAGCGGAATTTTGTCTTTCTGGAATTGACAGCCATCTTTGACAGGATTGATAGGGCCCATTGACCAGTTATGAGGGAGTTAGCTCCACAGTTAGGTTGGAAATGCTCGGGTTGTCCTGTTTGGAGCAAACGAGATTCAGAAGAGATTTGATAGAGGTGTTATAAGATGATGGCCATGTTTGGTTAAGGTAGGCACGATAAAAACAAGGACTACAGGATGCAAAGTTCAGAACTTGGGCAAAGATGCAGATCTATGTTGATTGAACAGGGGACTGGGACTGATTGGATTGCTCTGTGGGGATCAGGATGAACTTGATGGGTCCAATGGCCTCCTTGTGTGCTGTACATGACTGCATCTTCAATTAGGAAGCAACTAGGTGCAGATATCTGGACACATGTTTTCTGTCCCCGACTCACACTTGCTACACAACCCCAACTCAGCATATTACATGACGGCAGCTACCCAAGCTTAAAGAAGGGATCAGGCCCAAGAATTTGGGTGTCCTTGGGCTATTCAACTGTCAGGGCATCACAGTCTCATCCAATCCTGTCCTCCGTTAATTTCCACGTGCAACCACATGTACAGACACACGTGCACATGCATACACAACTCTCACAGTCACACTCAAACACACACACACACACACAAATACTCCCACACCGTCACACTCAAATACTCCCCTACACACAAATACTCCCACACGGGCACACTCAAACACTCCGCCCACACACAAATACTCCCACACGGGCACACTCAAACACTCCCCCAC